CAGTGTTAAGGGTATTAAAACAACTGCACATCGCGTGTGGCGTCGATAGGATAAGGTGAAGTACACCTGCATCACCCGAAAAACGTGTAACGGGAAGCCAAAATAAGTTATGTGTGAGCATTTATGCTACAGCTGTACTAGAAGATCTTGTAACGTGTATCTTCTGAAAGAACTCACCATACAGTACATACCTATTATTATTACATTATTATTAACATTATTATTATTATACCTCATATATATGTTGCAGGAAGACCAGGTTTATATATCTCCGATATACTTGATGGTGGACCAGCACCAGGAAACCTATATGCCTGAGATCGTGTACACTACCTGGGCCAGAACACAATCTTCCTTTTTAGAGAAGAACCTCCCTCAAAGACGCTTCTCCTTCCAAATCCCATTCATTTGTGGAATCTGGTCTGTCGGACCTCTGCTCCTCCAGTGTTATTACACCTGAGAGCCCGTGGGCTGAGCTGAAGGGGGCCGTCCACAAGGACATCAGGCACAGCGGAAGTGTCCCATGTCCCTCCCTGTGTGCTCTCCAGCCTTACGGCGAAAGGCTTTGTGCCGTTGTCCGTGCCAGGGGAGGTTTCTTGAAACCATAACTTTGGTATATTATTAAGAAAAAATAGTATTATCGATTTAAAAACATTTGTATTGGAATAAAATCCTCTTATTTCCCATTTTGGCGGAGGAGGGGCATAAAATATAGCTCTATATCCGTGCTATTTATTTTATGTCTTTTCTTTTTTTTGGTTCATTTATTTCCCAGTGGTGCCATTATACGTTGTCTTAAATAAGGCACAGAAGTGTTCTGGCACAAGGTATGCAGATTTTCTGGTATATGTCCCAGTTCTGGTGTGAGGTATATATCTTTTCTGGTATAGGTGCAAGTATAGGTTTGGTATATAAACTATATACAGGCGATCTGCTGTAAGGTGCATCTTTTTCTGGTATAAGCATATAGTATATGTAGTATAACATAGATGGGATTTCCTATATAAACTATGTAGGTATTCTGGTATAGGTATATAGTTTTTATTATAGTTCAGGTGGGTAGCTGTGTCAGCCTGCGTATTCTGCAAAGGAACAAGTAATAGGTTTGTTCCATGCTGAAAAGGGAAGAGAGAAATCACAACGTTTTTATTATATTATAATACGTTTTATTAGGTATAAAGTGTTTCTGTTTTTCGGTTAAGGTTCAGTTAAGGTATAACTGTATTCTTGAATTGGCATGTAGGTTTTCTCGTACAAGGTGTAGTGGTTATCTGTTGCAGGTGTGAAGGTTTGCTGGAATAAGGTACAGTGTATATTTTTCTGGAATGGGTATATCTGTTTTCACTATATAAGCTGTATCTGTGTTCTGGTATAGCTCTGTGGGTTTCTTTATATAAGGTACATTCTAGTATACGTACTGTATATAGGTTTTCTGAAAGCTATCCAAAGCATATAGGTGCTCTGATAAGGTATGTAGGCGTATAGTTTTTCTTTTATAAGGTATATAGCTGTTCTAGTATATTGGCTCTTGCATAAGGTATTGTACATAGGTGTTTTGGTATAAGGGATGTCTACTGTATGTTCTGATAAATATATAGGTTGTCTTATTTAAGCTAAATTGGTGAATGTCTGGAACTGACATACAAGTGTTTTTGTGTAGGTCTATAATCTGGGATTGCATATATAAGGGACAGAAGTTTTCTGGTTTAAATATATTGGTTTTGTGGTGTAAGACATATAGGTGTTCCGATATGGTGTATAGGTTTTCTTATATAAGGTACATAGCTGTTCTGGTATAGTTCTACAGATTTTTAAATATACAGTAAGGTATAGTACATAGGTGTTTTAGCAGAACACAGACGTACCTTATACCACATGTATATAGGTTGTCTTATTTAAGCTAAATTGGTGAGTGTCTGGAACAGATATACAAGTGTTCTTGTGCAGGTATATAGTGTGGGATTGCATATATAAGGGACAGACGTTTTCTGTTGTAAGGCATATAGGTGTCCTGGTATGGTATGTGGGTGTGGAGGTTTTCTGTAGGCGTTCTGGTATTGGAACGGTGTATAGGGGTTGTGGGATAAGGTCTGTAGGGTTCGTGAATGCAGTCGGGCTCAGGGGAGCTGTCCTGGTACCACACTGTCTTTCCACCTGGGCTCGGGG